GTTAATAAAAATAGCTTGACTAGCTGGCTGAAATGGTGACTGTAATTTATTAAAACACAGAAGTGATTAGTTCTAGGCAGGCTGAGTGATATTCTGAATGGGTGGAGTGGCTGAATGGGTCTACTCTGAATGGAAGATCCTCCGTCGAGATTCTCTGCTAACCTACAATAATTGACTGGGTGCTTTCTCTCGACCCACCTCATCTTCTTAACATCACTTACTTTTTTATTTTTGGTCAGTCGGGTGTCTGACACACAATGCTTAAGAGTATCCGAACCAAACTGAGTTCCATGCATCCCACCTATACATGTAAATTCTAGAGATGTTTAGTGGAATGGAATGCACAGCCTCTCCCTGGAGGAACATATCCTGTTTACCTAATTTCAGAAAGTACTAGGCATAGTTGGCAAGAGCCAAAGCTTGGGAACCCCAGAGCATGCGTCGGAGTCCTGCTGGAGTGTAGCATAATAATAAAAGAATAATAATCCGTGCATTTGATATAGTGCTTTTCACGTCTTCTGGACATCTCAAAGTGTGTCACAGAATAGATTGTAAAGTGAATTGACCGTATATTTGTGGGCGTAACAAGCTAAAACCACATAGCTTGCCATTAAGAGCAATGCCTGGCAAGTTTTCCCTCTGCTTATCCAGCTAGGACCGCCCAACCTGTTAGAGGTTTGGCTAACAGGGATTCCCTGCCTCCGGTAATTGTTTTGTCCCTCCAAGTCCTGCCGATGAACCAGGCTGGCTGTGCTGTCATCAGAAGTGCCCTGGAGTGCTGCCCCCCACCCCACACTCCACCCTCCTAGGCTCAGGAAATGTACTACTGAGACTTATAAAGCAAAGTGGCTTGGCTCTGGTCTCATTGATGTGTAGAGTACTGCCAGTTATTGATCCATTGAATGCCCACTTCAAAAGTTTTAGATAAAACAGATATAGGGTATAAGGCAAAAGAATAAACGGGTGGCGATCTGGCAGAACTCAACGTATAAATAAATACTTCAGAGATGGAGTGGGTAAATGGGTGTTTGGAGGAGTGGGGGGGGGGGGGGGGTAAAACTTCTGCTTAGCCCCAGAGAGTTGAAGATTGTTCAAGGAAGATAATACTTTCTGAAGTTTACATTGAGCTTGGTTCCAGCAGTGTAAGAGGCCAAAGATAAGAGGATTAGAGCGTGAGTGGATATGTAGAAATCAAGAAGAGATCTAACTAACTACTATAGTCTCCTTTGATATGCACTCTAACCTTTTACTTATCTACTCCAGTACTTCTTTGCCTCATTTACTGCAGCTAATCACTGGGATGAATATCTCACAGATCAGACAATGATTATTACTGATGCACTGTAGGCATGTATATTAGGCACTGAGGTCAAAAATAGCTTTCCTTCTACCACCTCCATTCAAATCAGCTACCTCAGAACATTGGAAACTCAAACTTTGAACCTTCCCATTCTATTCTATTTAACTCAGCTACTGCATAAACCCCTTTGAGCCATCAGAGGCAGTTTGATTCTCATTTTGAACCCAATTTTGTAACAGGTTCTATATTTTACCCCAAATCCCATTTTATGTAAAGTTCCAGGCAGGTGTGGACCATTGGTCTGTCTAACATACTCAAACTTCCCAAAGGATTCCTTCAGCATATCAATTTCATCCTCTAATAACCTTGAACACTTAAGATTCCAGGAATATTCCCAATTCCTTGTTTGAATACTTACTTTATCCAAGACTCTTAAATTGCATTTCAGGAAGAAATGCACCTAAAATGATCTTACTGGTAAGGTTCATTAAGTAAAACAAATTGGAAAGAGTCTTTCATTGCGACTGACCTTTTCTGAATTAACAATCCTGTGCAACCCATTAAATGCTCACTGGAAAATTGAGTGGTGATGGAAAATCCCGATTAGGCTCAACTACTCGGGCTTGCTTGGTTTCCACTAAATAATTAGGATTGCCTTGCCAGGTAATCACATTACTCAGAAATTGAATTGCTCAGAACGGACAAATCTAGACCACAACGAATATAAATGAGAGTCATCATCACTGTAAAGTCATAGATGAGTCATCCGGGTGAAACCGAATTTGACACAAAAGATAAAGGCAAGAGAAATAATAAGATGGAAAAATACTGTTGGCTATGCTTTGACTTTGTGCGCCGAATGAAACGTTCAACATTTCTAGTTTGGTGGTCATTAGCTGTAACTCAGAGTTGGTATTGTACATAAAAGCAGAATAAAATCATGTACTATGGGAGTCCATCGCTTGCTGATTGATTTTTGTTTATGTGGTAGGATTACATTTTACACATCTGCTCAGGTGTTTCTTTCCTCACAACAGCAAATCACATTCACTGTCAATTGAACAAGCCCCTTCCCCTCCTCAAGCTAGAATTGGTCAAACACTTCAGGAAAGAACAATTGTGAATAGCTAATGTTTGGATTAACAAACAGTTTATGGACTGCTTCTTACAGATGGGATATGAACATTAATACACTTGAAAAATCCTTTCAGTTATCAAACATTGCAGTTAATCAATACCTCTAGTTGTGATCCAAGAAAACATTTAGGCGTTTGCTGGTGAGAGAATATGGGGAAGTGAATACTGAAGACAATTTCAAGCTTGTTGAAAATGGGCTAAGGATATGTGAAGACTAAAGGAGCAGTAAGGGAGATTTGCTGGAGACTGAAATCTCTGTGGGCCTGAGCTGGCAATATGCAAATTAATCGCAAAATGTCCTAGTTTGCAGCCCGGCCCTTCATTTACATACTTTCCAAGTAATTTCCACACATTATCACGCTAAAAGTCAATGAAAGAAACGGCTTTGATTATAAGTGACACTGCCGAGAAAACATGCAAACAATATACAACTTTAAACCTCCTGAAAAACACATCACATTTTGATAACATGACAATCATATGATAGGGAGAGAGGTGCTGAACCAGATTCTCTGTATTAAAATACCCTTCACCACTATCAAAAACTTCAGTAATGGTTACTATTCAACTTCTCGGCTGCATTATTTAACATAAATATGTCAAGTTAGTAACAGTGCTGCCTCTAAGGCAGAAGGTTCAAGTGTCCAGGCTGACATCAGTGCAGTCCTGAGGGAGTGCTGCATTATCAGAAATGCCATGATTCAGATAAGAGGTTATCTGAGGTCATACCTTAAAATTCCTGTGACACTATTAGAGAAGGGAATTCTCCCAGTGTTTTGGCCATCAATCTGCCACATTAACCCGTCACTCGTGGTTTTTATAGGGCCTGCTTGCGCAAATGACTGTTATATTTGCCTACAAAGATAGTCATCGCACTTGATGATAATTATTTGTGAAGCGTTTTGAGATGTTTTGATAGAAAGTGCTATAAAATGCAAGTTCTTTCTTTCTATTTATTTTAAATTTAAAACTCAGAGAGGTGGGCAAGAGGGGGTGCATAAACCATAAGGAGTTTCTTCCCGGACTGACACCATCATTCAGAACAAAGATAATTAAAATACAGGAGAAAATATCGCAAATGTCATGATTGACATTGGGTGCACGTAACACTTTAAAAGCCACTTTGAAGTGATAGTGGAATAGTTAGCCACTGACAGTGCACTATAGACTTCATCCTGAGGGAACAGAAATGTTTTACATTGACAAGAAATATGAAGCTTGAAAAAAAATCTGCATTTCTGCACATACGAAGCACAGTTTAATATCATTTACACAATTTAGGAGCAGAGTGAGTTTGCTGATTTTTAAATGTCTAGTTTTATACAGTCAATTCACTTTACAGTATACTCTGTCAAGCATTTTGAGACGTTTTCAGCACCTTGAGACGTCCTCCTGACGTGAAAGGTGCTGTACCAATGTAATTTTTGTTTGTTTGTTGTTGTCTGATGAGGCGCTATATTAAATGCAAGGATTATATTATTTATTAGAACTGAGAATGTGGAAAGAATCACTGTGGAGAAACTGGCTGGGAGACGTGAACACCCAACAAAGACAGTAAACCTGACAATTTAACTAATAATTCAGTGCCCTCCTAAACAGATAGATTCAGTAACTGTTCTGATGTAAGTAGCACCAGCATTCTCAACATAAAACACAGCTACAAGCAAAAAGACAAAAGTGTTGCATCTTTCCAGTCACTGGAGTTTTTGAGAAGGCAATGGCAATAATAATCCTTGCATTTGATATAGTGCCTTATCATGTTGTTGAGACATTTCAAAGCATTTCACAGAATTTACTGTAAAGTGGATTGATTGTATATTTTGTGAGTGAAATGCGGCAGCCTATTGGGCACAGCAACAAACAGCCATGGAGTGAACAAAACAGCAATGTTTTGTGTTGGTGCCTTTTCAGTGTTCCCCAGTCTTCTACAAGAGAGAATAGACTAAATCTATAATCATAAAGATTCTTTCTTCAAAACAAACACAGGCTGCCTCTTTATGCAAAGAAATTCAATCCAAAAATATCCATCCTACAATTCTTGTATGACTAACTATGAATTATTAATTGTACAACTATGAGCTGCTAAGATTTTTCACATAATAATCCTTACATTTGGTGTAGCACTTTTCATGTCAGGAGGATGTCCTAAAGAGTTTCACAGCATATACGGTAAAATGTAATGACCGTATTTGTGGGCGAACGCAGCAGGCAATTTGTGCATAGCAATGTTCCACAAATAGCCAATGTTAAATATAATATTAAATATAATATATTGTAATCTATAACCACATAATGTTAAATATGGCATTGAAACCTCGCTGATATGACCTAACTTGATCAATAAGAGTTTATGGGAAAAGTTTGTTTTTGCATCAATGGTTTGAATAGAATAAATTGTGAACAAACTATGCAATTACAGATATATCATGTTTCTGAGATGTATCTCGGTATTTGTGACGTACATGCTCTTTGTCAATTGTAGGAATTCAAAAAACTACAGTTACACATTAAAAATTCTTGATTTATAATATGGATATAATGAACAATATTTTCATCAACCCACCTTAACTGGACCTGGACTTGAATTTACAGTGACAGCTGGGTCTACCAGCCTAGACTCAGCGTGTATCCTGCACAGCCGGTCCCTGAGCTCTGTATTCTGAGCTATGGCCTGATAAAAAAAAGTTATCAAGGAAACACAGAAAACATGAATTATTAAAACAAAAAAAAGTATATAAAACAGACTGATCATGCCAGAAAGTTGCATTAAGTCTTCAGCAATTCACTTAAAATTTTCACCCCAGATATCAGCCCATTCAGAAATTTTAATAAAAAGACCCCAGAAATTCATTTAAAAAAACATATAGTAAAGTTATTTTAAAGTCGAACTGAAATTCGAGTCTTTACGTCCATCTAAATCACAAGGCACGCAAACCCTAAATGAATAACCCAATCAAAAAAGGATGATATCTGAAGAGCACCTTGTACTTAATATAGAAATGTCATATAGATAAATGCAGCAACAAATCTGCAGCGATTTTTTGGGGGGTGGGGTTGGGGGAGGGTGAATTTGGTACCTTTAAATTTTCAAGGACAATTCAAACAATGAACACGGAAAGAACAATAGTTTTATTGGACAAAAAGGAAAAAAATGGGGAAAAATAAAATGGACAAATTAATTTTGTAGCTTAAAAACTGTTGTCAAAGTTGCACTGTGCTTTCGTCTAGTCGGCAAAACACTAAGAGATTGTGACGCCTGTTAAACTCCAAGTTTTGCATTTTGTGCACTGGACTTTGAAGCACAAAGCAGGTTATTATGACTAGTACCAGTTTCAGGTAGATTAGGCCACCTAGCCTATCCTTCCAATTTACTAAAAGATTCCTTTCACACATCTGCCTCATCACCTAATAACCCTGAATCCTTTTTGATTTTCAGTGTCAAGTTCCTTTTAAAATTCTTTATAGCTCCATTTACCATGTTAGAAACAGAAAATATGCATCAAAGGTGCTTTAAAAGTGTAAATCAGAGAGGAAATTTAAATAAAATATTTTCTTTCTTCTAATGATAGAAGCAGACAGAAAAAGTACCAGGTACAGATTAGGGCAATTAGTTTAATTGGATTTATTTTTAAATTAAGCTTTGCCTGCAGTAGCCTGCAAACTGTTCCTGGAGGGAGAGGCATACAGTATGTTGAGAGGAATCTATAATCTTTGTGTGTGTGCGTGAGGTGGGGAGGGTGGGGGTTAAAAGAGAAAAGGAAGGCATCAATCAAATTCTTTGACCTCTTAGCTAAATCACAAGGCACACCTTTCTCTATTAGGGATGGCAGGGGAGAGAAACACTGAGAACCTGAAAAATAATGACAAGACTCTCTCAAACACCGTAACCACTTCCAATTCCATCACTTGCAGCTTTTAAGCATTTCATGTCATTACATTTCAGTATCACAGTTTACCACTCATTAACTGTGCATCATCATTTCGTATCACTTCAAAGAATACATCCAGAACATCTACATGCAAAAATGCTTCGGTGGAAAATTCTGATCAGCTCTTCAGAGATACCAAATAGCTTGAGATTTACCCAGAAACACACTTTGAGGTAAGAAATAGCTACTTAAAGGTGACATGTGGGCCAAACAAAAATCCCTAGCTGATCCACCAAAATAGTCAGTCACTTTTATTTTAAAATAAAATCTTTTCATGAGATATAGTGCCTGATCACATCAAAAGGTCTCAAATTGCTGTCAAGTGTAGTGACTGAATTTGTGGGCAAACTCAGCATCCAATTTGCACACAGCAATGTCCCATAAACAGCTATAAAGTGAGTGATCAATTTGTTTCATTTGGGGATTATTAGCCAGGTCACGAGGAAGAAGTCATATTTTCTTTCTGAACAGTGCCATAAGATCTTTAACATACACCTGAACAGGCAGATAGTACCTCAGTTTAACATCTTGTTTGATTTAAACCCCAAAGTACCCTAAAGTGGTTGAAAAAGAGAATGAACAAGAGACAGCAAACATATTAAAAGAAAACTACTTTGTGGAAGTTTTTAAACTCAGGAGAACATTAAAACCTTGCTGCCCGACAATTTGGCACATCACAGATAAACTCTTACAACCAGGAAGCGACGTAACATACTACATTTTGTGCAACTTTTATAACATTATGGAATTCTTCTGATGTTCCTATTTTTCTTAAGACAAAGAAGAATAAAGACCAATATTAACAGTGGAAGCCCTGAAATCAAATATTTACAAAGCTGAAATGTGATACGGTGAACACAAGAGAAGCTAAACACCATTGGGAGGAGAAACTGACAGGTTATTTATCATATAATATGAAGGATAGACTTTCCCCTCTTGACATGTAGCTTTTTTAAAAAAATGATGAGGTATTAGTGTGGTTCAAAATAAATCAACTTGTCAAATCACCTAGGTCTGTTCTGCTTAGTTCAGACTTCACACTAGACGGTAGTTTTGATATTTTTATTATTCTGAAATTGCACAATCTATTCAAAGGTGATAAAATATATTTGAATGATGAACTTACAAAATGCATAAAAATATCCCTAGTCTTGAAAGTTGCAGAAACAAAGGATCATTAGTCAAGATGGAGTAGGTGTCAGTTGATCAAAATCTTCATAATTCACTTGAAAATCAGGGAATTATGTATTTAGGAAATGGTTCAAATTACCAATTTGATACAGCATGAAATATCCAAAGCACAAATAAACCTGCCATGAGCAAAGAAGTAGAGATAGAGAGAAACGTAAGGGAACAAGGCCATCAACATGTTCCTCTCGTTCCTGGTGCCCCCTAGACAGGCCTACTCTGCAACAAACAGTACAGGTTCACAGCAACATTCAGGGCATGGCAGCTCAGAGGGCAAGGTGGATGATGCAGCACTGGAGAGATAAGGTGGAAAGAGGGTGAGAAGTATGCCAGCCAGCCCTGGGAGGTACTGTCACAAGGCCTTCTCTGGGGTTAGTGAAGGTGTTCAGGGGGGGTGGGTAAGAAATTAGGCTATTAACCATCTCCAGTTCCTCCCCCTACCCAAGGAATGCACCATCAAGGATCCCATTCTCTTTCCCTCTAATATATGAATAGGTTATGCTGAGAGTCAGGCATGTGAGGAGAAATGCACCTCAGAATTCACTTCTCCATCGTGGAAACATGCTTATAACGTGGTTGCACTGAACACCTCATTATAACAGTGGACCCCATCCACTGCACACGCACAGTCATCAGGTTATCTTCAATAGCACTTCCTACTTTTGATGCACAGGTGCAAAGTAGGTGTAATGCTGGTAGTGATCTAATGGCCTACGCAAGCCATAATTGCAGCAAACAAGAAGCAACATTGGTGACGACATAATGACCTGGAAATTGGCTATTTATTCTTTTACAACATGCAATGAGCGACTCAACTGCTGCACACATGCACAGTCAGATTCATTACCCTGCCTCTCTATAACATAAGTTACCATTTTCTGGGAGTCCACTGAAGCCCTCCTTATTGCAGATATGTTGAGGGTTTGTAAAGATTTTCTTTTTAACAATTTTTTTGACACTAACTGTTATCCTTAGTCATTGTTTGGTTCTGCATGTTAGTATTTCTGGCACAAATACATTTCTCAGAGGTTCTTTGAGCTACCCAGCAACACAAGGTGTACTTTACAGGCTTGCAAAGAGCTGTGTACATACATTCTTACTGATATTGGGAGCATTAATTTCTATGGGATAGAGAAGCCGCTTTAAACTTGTGCACAACTGAAGCCTTTTTGATGGTTTTCTCAGGACCGCCATATCTCCAATAAACCTTGCAGAAATTTAGAACATACAAATTAACGCTTGGTCTCTCTAACTCCATAAATTACATCTGCCATCGTAATTTACATAAATAACGTTCAGCATGGAATGTATTGATCCAGAGAGCGTTATGTGATTAAACAAATTAATTTTCTTATTTTTTGTCTGAACATTCAAATACCAATGGGAAAAATAGAACATCAGGATACTGCAGAAGTAAATTGGGTAAGAGATGAATTAATACAACTGAAATGGGAATTACTAAAACCACCATGTCTGATTACATCTTGACTGATCCTAACTGAGCTTCATAAGGTTCCCAAAACAATTTTGTCAATGGGATTACAATCACTTCTTGTATTCATTGAATCAAAAACAAAACTGTAAATTGATACAACACCCCCCCACCCCCAAGAAAGCAAATATTAAAATAAGATTGATGTAATGTTCGTTTTCTGAACTTGACACCTTTCCACTGATGCCTATAAACCTGATACTGTAAAGGACTAGTGTACAGATAACAAGCTTGAACAAAAGCTACCAGTGAAACAATTATTCCGTTGTACGACTGCCAAGAAATTCCACACAAAGTTCCTGTGAAAGATAAAATTATTCATGCAAGACATTAATAAGACAATTACCTTTCCTCACCAGACTAATACAAAAAGGTTACCCAAGCAAACATCAATTTGTGCATCAGTTTTGATTGCAGTGTGGTAACAAGTATTGAATAACAGCGTCAAGCATCTTTCCTATTATTTTTCACATTTATACATTTGTAAAGAGATTTAACTTTAGTAATTGCTGTTGCACCTTTCCAAGCTTACCGTGGATAAGGCATTCTTCAGGCCAATCATTTGTCCAGATGGTGATGGGCAAACATCGTGTTCCGATACCATCTGCTTCAGTTTCTCCTTTTCAATTACTATTGTATTAAATGCAGACTTCAAACTGCAATGAACTAACAAAAAAACATGAAAAATATTTTAATGATTATATCCAGAATAACGAGACTTCAGAATGACAAAACATTTGCACGAATTATATCCAAACTGGTTTTAGGAATATGGTGTTGAATTTTACATAGTGGTGTAGTTTTAAGTACAACACACCAATTCTTGAATATTATTAGAAATTACCATAATAAAATAGTAGGGAAAGAAGTACAAGAAGGAACAGGAGACGGTCAATCATACTCAAGTCTGCTCTGGCATTTTATTTTTTCTTGGACAGCTACTGATCTCTCCAATACCATTTCCTCAACTTTCAATATATTCCTGAATAACTTCACTGCCTACGTCACTGGCTATCTTGTTCATAAATAACTCAGTTCAATCTGTAGGGATGACTTTTTATGGCAGTGGTTTTCACATTCCATAGGGAAAAAAAGGAAATTAGGAATAGGAGTGGAGAAAGCCATTCGGCCCATATATTACAAACCTCCATATCCCACCATATCCATAATTTATTTTACCTCCAAGTATCTATCCACCTCTCACTTAAATTTCTCAATCGATTTCCTTTTTTGTTTTTCTGGGGCAGTGCATCTCAGATGCCCATTACTTTCTGTAACAAGAAATGTTTCCTCATCTTGGGCCAAATCCATTTTGCTCTCATTTTAACATTATACTCTGTTGTAACTCGTGGCTCCACCAGGTGGAAAGTTACTCACTTTGAATTGCCCTTTCAGAATTCTAATCACTTTGATCAAATTATCCTCAACCACCTAAAGACAACATCCCACCTAACCAAACGATGCAGCACACTCTCAAAAGTGTTCATTTTTAATTTGTTTTAGATCCAATCTTAAAATGATGTCCCCAATTTGTTATTAGTTCCAATACTAGAGAGATAAACTGATTCCCATCTACCTTGTGAAATATTATTTGCAATACCTCAATTAAATCACTTTGTAATCTCAAATCTGGGCCATACAACTCAAATTTAAGTAACACCGTCACAGCTGGTGAATTATCATTGGAATTGGTTTATCTTTCCTAAGCTATGGGTACCCAGAACCATATGATATCTGACCAGCGCTCTATTGCAATTGGACTACTACTTTTGACCATTCTTCTTTTGGGGGGGGGGGGGGTAGGTGAGCAGGTCTCCTTGGAGCTGAACTGGTTCAAAGGTGACATACTTAGCAACAGAATGTCAGAATTGAGTCAATCCTCTGCAGGTATCTTGGTAGTTCAGTTCCTGAGCCAAGCGGGTCCACAGTTCTCCAGGGCACTGCTTTTGAAAGAGCAGCCAGTCTGGCTCATCAGCAGAACTTCAAGGGGTAGACCAATCATTGGGGGCAGGGATTTTTCCCATTCAGTTCCCGATTATTATTTTTTTCAAAAAAAACCAATAATAATAAATTGGTCACTTCAATCCACGAAAGTTTGTGGGACACTGCTGTGCACAATTGGCTGCAGCGTTTCGCCCACAAAATATACTGTCAATTCACTTTACAGTATATTCTGTGAAGTGCTTTGAGACATCTCGAAGACGAGGAGAGGCTTGGTTCTCACTAAACAAGCAGCGGGAAGTTTATCAGACAGTATCAAGCTGTGTGCTTTAGCTCGTTAAAGAACAAATAATACCACAAAGCATACTCTGGGGTCCCCATGTTTTGGCTCTTGCCAACCTCTGGAATTAGGTAAGCAGAGTGTGTTCTTTCAGGATGAATGTGTACATTCCATTCCAGAAACAGGAATTTCCATGTGTAGTTAGCATATGTGGAATATCTATCTGGTTTGGATATTCTTAAGCATGGTGGTGGCAGTCTGCACATGTCAGACAAAACAGGATTTACCTCAAGAGTAGTATAATTTATATCAGCCCATTAGTGTTTTTTGATTAATCTTTTAATGATTTCTACCCCAGTAAATTCCTTTGCTTTGTGTACTATTAACTCATATCTGATGCATACAAACATACAGATAAGGTATTAAAGGTTTGGGATGTCACAATATAAATGTCATCCCAAAACAATCTGTAATTAGAGAAATTCTATGCCTATATGCTTTTACAAAAGGATGACCGCCTATTCTGCCTATTGAGAAATGAGGATAGGTAGATCAATCTTCAGCACAATACACTAATGGTTGTCTTATGACCAATTGATTGTTGTCTGTCCTTCACTTGCCATCTTATTTTTCTGGTCATCTGCAAGTGAATAACTGTCTGTCTCAACAGCAGCAGTGAACAGTTTACCCTGAAGAATGTTGACGTCTTGACACCTCATCACATTTCAACATGTGATTTTGTATGTTCATCCAAAATCAAATGAGATTCAACTGGTCAATCAATCCAAGCAATCCTTTTGAACCTTAATCAAATATTTTCTCTCTTTCTATAGACCACCCACCACTCGCCCAACGCTGCCCCCACACCCCCCACCAATTGAAGGAGATGAATGATACTCTATGATCATTAGGTGTTTACTCCTAAAAATTTTAAATATTAACTATTCAAAATAAATTTCAAGCCATGGTTCTAATCTGACAATACCTGCTTTCTGGTTTGTCTGCATCAAGCATCATATCAAATTCCATCATAAGTTTTACTGAAATATTTGCTCATTTTGGATACAAAGTCATCCGAAATGTAGACTGATCTTTTATTTGAGGACAAAACGTAGGAGAAATTAGAGCTGAAAGTGCTCAGCCAATGTGCACAATCCTTTTGTTTAAAGCTATAACTTGTGAGAAAAAAAGATATTTTTAGGTTTTGCTGAAAGCGATGACAGCAGTTACCTTCTTGTGCAATGTGGCAGAACTCTTCTTGGAGCTTGGAGTAGTTTGAAGGTAGATCAGAAACATCTGAAAAATGTTTTGTTTCTCCAAGAAACATTTCAGACAGGTTAGGGTTTGAGGCATGCAATCGCATCGAATTTGCAGAGATTGAAGGGACCTAAACAAGAGAACAAATCATTACCTCTTAATTAATATTCTTTGACTTTAAGGCAAAAATTAGGTATGAAACAATGTTTTTAGCTATGCCTAATGAATAGAAGTGTTTCAATGAGTGAAAAATGCCCATTCACAATTATTATTTGCAATTATAATAATCATTGCATTTGATATAGCGCCTTATCAAGTTGTTGAGATGTTGGGATGGCAGCCAGCTTCTGCACAGCAATGTCCCACAAACAAGCCATGGAGTGAGTGACCAATTTTATTTAAGGGATTTGTTGGCCAGGACCCTGGATGAAACTCCCTTCTGTTTTTAAATAATGCCATAGGATCTTTAACATCCACCTGAACAAGCAGGCAGGACCTCCGTTTTAACATCTCATCTGAAGGACGGCACCTCCAACAATGCAACACCGCCCCAGTGCTGCACTGGAGTGTCAGCTTCGACGAAGTGATTCCAAGTCCCGACGTGGGGTTTGAACCCACAACCTTCTGACTCAGAGGTGAGAGTGCCGCCTCTGAGCCAGGCTGACACACGGCTGTAAATCAATGAATCTAGAGAGCATTTGTCTCAAGCATTAATGAAACAAAGTCAATAAATTATTTAAATCGCAGCTAACCAGCCAGGCAGACATCTGGTGATCCACTGTTAAACTGATTATGGGGACCAGCAGCTGTAACAGAACACACAAGGTCCTAAGTAGTACTGTCAGAGGACAGTCTGAAAGACAATGGCCACATGAAGGGAAAATAATTAGCAATGGAGCAGGGATGCATTTAAAAAAACAAGCCGAACAGATTGATAACTAGTCATGCCTTATGCTTTCCTGACTGATATAAGGTCTTTTAAAAGCTTTAATATCCATTCATAACACAGGGAAACCCTTTCATAACATCTTGATCCATTACCAGAGGCCCCATTATAAAAAATGGCCAACTTCCGAGTTAAGATTAACAAATTGCATTTCTTATAGCGCCTTTCAGGTCAGGAGGTTGTCTTAAAGCACTTCACAGCATATACTGTAAAGTGCAGTGACTGTGTATTTTGCGGGCGAATGCATTGCCAGTTAACTGCTGACATCACGTCCTTTTCGAAAGCGATGTTAGAGCTGCTTCCTGAGCATGTACAGCACACAGGAGGTGACGTCAGTGGTGACCTGACAACTGACCATTTTTTACTGTGGAAAGTCAGGCAGTCCGCACCAGAGACCAGTGAACCATCCCTTATAACCTGCACTCGTTTAAGTGAACCCGCGCACAACATGCACATTCGAACGTTGGCAACCTGTAACGTGATTGGCGTTATTTCTAGAATTACAGCAAGTACAGCTCCTTTGTTCTTTTAATATTTCTCCACCAATTTTCCTTCTTTCTCCTGAATGTATTCATCTCCTTTTTTCTTTCTGCTTGGGTACGCCCTCACAGGAAGCCTCCAGGAGCTTTTCCAAGTGATCCTTCTTCATATTCAAATATGACAGCGTTAATAGGCTATTGGACTGCAGAGGTATCACAGTGGAACTCGATCCTGTCCTTAACTGACATTCACACAAGAGCATCTTCCAGCAGGTGTCTGTACAATGATCAGAGTAACAAGAATCCACGCACCCTAAACCAGGGTTACTGAGGCCAACTGTAGCATCCCAACTACTGTCCTGGCTCTGATCAGTTAACACAGCATTGTCCAGGATTCAAGCATGCAACTTTCTAGTCTGAATGGCCTTGTATTGCACCAGGTAGTGTCTTACCTACTTGGCTATTGAGAGAAAACGCCTTTGATTTCAAGGTAATTACCTGTAGTGTTGTTTTAGCATCTTTGCCAAAACTTTTAGAGAGCCACCTTCTCTGAACACGTTTTTCCTTTTTTGGACTTTCAAAGACGTACCCCTTTCAGAAAAGGAAAAAAATGATTTAATTGAAAAGCAATTCTTTCAAAATTGTACGATAATTTTAGTTTTACTATATTGATGACTGCACTTTAAAATATGTAAATCAACGGCACAATTGCTGTTATTTTTGCTTCAGTTTATATAACATAAAAAATCTAATCTGAACAACATACCTGAATAGCATTTATAGCTGGTGCAGAATATGTCCTGTGTATTACCTCCATGTGTTCTATGAGCTGTGCCAGCTCTGTTAAACTTGATTGACACTGAGAGAGTTCTAAACAAATAAAGAAGATTTGTGTTTATTTTGCAAAATCAACTTTGTTTTTCTTTCCCCAAAATCTCTTTATGGTTCCATAAAAAATTATATTGAGTCATTATGCTCCAAATCTCTGGAACTTCTTGCTTCAAACACTCCTGCCCATCTTCAAATCACACTGGAAGACTTTCCACTTTGACTGCCTTTGGCGAACTCCCACCTTCTTTCCAGCTTGGCGTCAAGCCACGCTGCTGTTAAGTGCTCCAGGACACTACCGATGAGAGGGGTTTTCCACATTCCATTTGTATAGCGCTTTCACGTGGGGAGGATGTCCCAAGATGCTGGACACTCAGTGTGTTGGACCCGCGCTGTGGGTCGAGATTGGGGAGGGTGGAGGGTAAGGGGGTAAGCAGGGTGATCGAAAGCATGGTCGAAGGGGAGGGTCTTGAGATGGGTCTTGAAGGAAGCTAGGGAGGGGGTGAGGCGGAAGGATTACGGGATAGAGTTCCAGAGGGTGGGGGCAGAGTGGCCAAAGGCCCGTCCGCCAATGGTGGGGCGGGTGAGGCGGGGGACGTGAAGCAGGCTGGAGCCCTCTGAGTGTAGGGAGCGGCAGGTTAATAGGAGGTTAGGAGGTCACAGAGGTAAGGGGCAGCAAGAACATGGAGAGCTTTGAAGGTGAGGATCAGGGTTTTGAACTGTATCTTCTGTGTGATGGGAAGTCAGTGGAGTTGGGTGAGGATGGGATTGATAGGGTCACGGAGCCTGGTGCAGGAGAGGATACAAACTGCAGAGTTCTGGATGATCTGCAGCCTATGGAGGGAGGAGTTGGGGAGGCCGACAAGCAGGGAATTTGCATAGTTAGGCCTCGATGTTATGAATGCGTGTACGATGGTTTCGGCGGCCTGCGGTGTGAAGACAGTGGCAGAGCCAGATGACGTTGCGGAGGTGGGGGAAGGCAGAGCGGGTCATGGCACGGATGTGGGGTAGAAAGGATAGTTGAGGGTCAAACAAGACGCCAAGGTTCTGGAATGATTTAGTAAGGTGGAGTGTGCATCATTGGATGGTGATGCTGTCAGCGTGCTTTATAAGGACATTATATAAATGCAAGTTGCTGCTGCATTCAGAATTTAAATTATTTTGAAAAGCAATATATGAAAACGTAAGCCGTTGCACTCAACTCATCAAAATGTCTTGGATGTGTAGTAATCCATAGAGCTTACTATACTCTTTCTATTTTTCATATTTAAGATTTTGTCTCCATTTTTACATATACAGGTATTTCAATTATTCATAATTTTTTCTCGGCATGTATTAAGAAAATTAAGGGTCACTCCAAAATTTCTGGACTCTTTGCCCCTTCGTTCTCTCCTACGTGGATTATACCCTGGTTTAATGTGGACCGAAAATTCAAAAACTTATATTAATTTGGTCACTCAATCCACGACTGTTTGTGGGACACTGTTGTGCGTAATTGGCTGACGCTTTTCGCCCACAAAAATATACAGTCAACTCACTTTACAGTATATTCTGTGAAGCACTTTAAGGCGTCCAGAAGGTGTGATAAGGCGCTATATTGAATACAAGGATTATTATTATTATTTCCAGGTTTTGCAAATGTTATTTCATGTGATACAGCTGGCTACAGTAAAATTTAACCCGATTAACGACACAGTTAGTCATTGCACAGACTCAGTGTTATTCTAAAGTTCCAGATACAGACCAACCAGATACAGGCCAGGCAGGGAACCTGGCCAATTCCCTTGCATGAATCAGGATCGGGGAGGAAACAAATTGTCAACTACCCCCGTTGAGTTCCACGGCTCCTATAGCAATTGTAACTCGGTCAAACATTCCTAAAACTCTAAGCTTAGAAGTCTTACAAGAATTGGATCCAGAACTCGAACAGTTAAAAGCTCATTTAACTGATTCCCAGAATGCAGCACCAGTGGCAAACCCAAGAGATGTGCAATTATGTTTAATGAAGAATATTATCTTTATGTATCAGTACAAATATTTTATGATGGATCGCCCTGAATTCCAAGCGGAATCAGATGTTGTATATGACCCACAACCTTCCGGTTTCGGATAATGGGGGAAGATCAAGGGCACTGATTGTTTATTTTTGCGTAAATACAGTAATTCACAAGCTATAGCAATTAGTTAAGAAAACTCACCTTTTGAACATTTGTCTATATCTTCTGAACTTTGTAACCAAGCTGCCACCTTGAACTGACTGTTGGAGTAGGTAAGAGGAAAGCTGGGGGCACCTTGGAGAGACATTTGTTTGGATAGGCTGTTTCTCTGCAACTAAGAACACAAATCAAAATTCAATTAAAACTAATAAGAAGAATTAATTATAATTGCAGCTTTACCACATCAAAATATCAGATAATTACTGTGAAGTTTCTGTTTTTCTTGGCAAATACAGCAGCCATTTATTGCCAGCAATATCTTACAAACAGTCTTGAGTTGAGCGACCATTAATCAGAAAGATTGTTCCCCAGACACCAAGGAAGAGCTAATCTCTTCTTCTGAATATTATTGAGATATTATGGCTTTTTATATGTGCTGTGGACAAATTGTTTGCTTCTTTGGCCCAAAAGTAGACGCCACTATACTTGACAGCAAAAATCTATGAAGCAGTTTGGGATGTTTTGGTGTTACAAGCACTAGATCAAACGCAAAGATTATTATCATTACTACTCCTATTTCAGCTTTAACTTCCCCTTTATTAGTACAGGCATTGAGCAGTTATTAGCACCTGGGAAATAATTCATAATTTGAATTGTTGTGATAGGAACATAAGTGGAATGAAAGTAACCTCATGAACATGAACTGAATCTATCATATGATGTAGTTTGTTACCTACAATCCTCTGCCTTGCGACACTCCAGCCTACATATTGACCCATAAGTAAAGTCAGTTCCATTTATCAGTGCATTTCTTCTGATTTATTTTAAGCTATTGAAGGTGGCTCGGGACTTTCGTTAATAGGGTCAAATGACTGCCAAACAAAGCTGGTGCTTAATTGCTACCCAATTCCGTGGACAGATGAGAATCTGACCCAGTTCTTCAGAAGAGAGGAAATCACTGTCTTGAACAGAACTTGCTGATAATCAGCTTGTAATCTATAAAACACTGATGTTTCATTAGACCAACTACCTGAAGCCTCCACTAGTATAAGTATATAGACTTATGCCTATACATTTAGAGTCATTACACTTTATAGAAACCTCAGTGAAGTGCTTTGAAAAGTTTCAACATAAGATGCAGCACCAAATGCAGGATTATTATTATTTGGTATTGCAAGATTTACTTTATCCTTTATAGATAGTCCGTGAGTTTGACAATCATTCAGTAGGGATTGAGGAGGGGCTAAAAGAAGACAGGAGGATACTAGGTTTCGTGATTACTGAATTGTTTTAGATGAAGATTTTGTGCTCAGTCCCACTGGAAGGAAGTCCTCGGAATGTTCAAATTGAGGACGACGTCAGATAACAAATTGCACTGACATCTTGTAATGTAAAATGTCAGGTAATGCTTGAGGCCACACATTTTTCATGAGCGTAAGCAAATATTTGACATGTAATTTTCATTCAACTGCTTTAAATACTTCAATTTTTTTAATATTGGGCATCCAAAAAAAGTTTGAGTCATTGAACTGTAATATTTCAGAAGTAGAAATGATTTTAAAAAAACATAAATTTTTGAGACACACATTTCATATGTGTGTGTATATGTGTATATATCTATAGGCCAAAAAATGATGTTGCGTGTCATGTCTGAACAGTGTTTAAACAGCTGTATTATGTTAGCTTGGCTCAGTGGTTGTATTCTTGCCTCTGAGTCATAGGTTATGGATTAAATCCCTTGAATTCATAAAGCATAAGATGACACTGCAATGCAGTGCTGGGGTTATGTCGGAGGTGCCATCCTTTGGATGAGGCACTAAACCAAGGTCCTGTCTGCCTGTTCAGGTGAATGTTAAAGATCCCATGGCACTATTCAAAATGAGAAGGGAGTTTGTCCCGGTGTCCTGGCCAACAATCCCCCAAAACAAAATTGGTCGCTCGAGGTGATGAGGTGCTTTTCCAAGTGCAAGGATTATTATTATTATGTGTCATATGCAACAGCTATATTATGTGCCAAGTGCAAACGTGTATGGAGGGAATTACAGGTATGCTTAATTATGTAGTTAAGCGCCAGAAGGGACTGGTTGTTAATTATAAATCATTGGTTAACTCGGGCACCTGTTACACGTGTAACATGTCATACATACATCCATACATCTCATAGCACAGGCGTGTTCCACATGATTTATACATGGCACACAATAGACACCTTAATCAAATCAGGAGCACTACACAGCAGTAACACAATAATATTAATAATCCTTGCATTTGACATAGCACCTTACCACGTGTTTGAGATGTCTCAAAGCGCTTACACAGAATATACTGTTAAGTGAATTGACTGTATATTTTTGTGGGCGAAACGCAGCAGCCAATTGCACACAGCATTGTCCCACAAACAGTTATGGATTGAAATGACCAATTTATTATTTTTTTTAAGGAATTATTACTCCCAGAAAAGCGATCCACCAATCGACTGACAACCGGGTTCCTACTTTGTGCCAGGTAAACAGAGGAGTGTGGAGTAAGGAAACTTGTCCAACATTTCGGCCTGCCGGGAATCAAACTCAGATCTGGTTTGCGAGGCGAATGCTCTAACCACTGAGCTACAGGACATAAGGAATCAAGTGCATTATAGACTGTTCAATCTTTGGATCTAAGAGGAGTTGACGTTCCTCCACTGTGGATGGCTACATACAGCAGATTTCAATCACCAAATCATCAGAATTGAACTAAGTCATGACTGAGTTTCATTTCACTGCTTAGGAACAGATAGATATTACAAAGCAATTACTGCCCAGAATTAAATTACACTTCTACAGACCTTTGCTTACAAAATCCAGTCGCTACACTTTACCACGTCCTGTGAAGCTCCTAGACATCATCCCAATGATCTCTAACTGTTCAGCTTGTAATGACATTTAGAATCTCCAAGACGTCCTCCCAACATGAAAGGCGCTATATGAAATGTAAGGATTATTTATTCTGTACAAAGTGCACACAAAGCATAAACTGTTGTCTGAATGAAAGACAAACTTTCTTGTTGTAGTCTAAACTGTTATTCACAAACATGCTTACTTCCAAATTATGCTCTCTGTCCTTCCCCCCCATACCTTCATATCAATGTGATACTAAATGCCATTACAAGCTGGACAGTTAAGAGATCAAAGCCCAGATCTGCATTGGGCAATCCATGCAATATATTTTATGATCCAACTCGGGAAGATTTAAAATCATTGAATGTTAAATTTATATTTTTGTGTTCACTGAAATGAAGAATCTCAAGTGTTTGAGAATTGACTAGTTTTATTCATTTTGGCATTCAGTGTCAATAAGCACCCCTTTATCAGGTAAAACATGGGCTAGATACAGATTAAAAGGCCCTTCACTCTGCCCAAAGGTCACCTTAAGCACTTGTACAGTATGATGGCTTTTAGTCATAAAGACTGCATGGTTATAATTGCCTGTGCACTGTTGATAACATGTGCATTAGAACTGGATTTGAGTGTCCAAGCTTGGAGCTGGAAGAAAAAGGAGACTTTCATGGCATGGATGGATTGAAAGCATTAAGTGAAAGCATAGCATGTTATCCCACTGCAGCATCCAACATCCTTGTAAAAAGTATCCATTACTTGTCAGAATTTTAAATAAGACTTTCTTTAATAGGAACTTAATGGTGCTGACTCTATCTGCATTTTATTTCTTAGACATCAGCCATATTGTAAGTGGTGGCAAGGGCTGCACATGAATGAGTTCATAAACTCCGTATGTTCTGTACTGTGTGCCTGGAAAGGGAATTGATGCAGCTCCCACTTACTACTCAGTTTTGCTATTACCTTCATGGCTATTAAGGGCATGTCACGAATTCTTCAAACAAGGATTGTGGTTCTTTGAAAGGAATTGGGGGCTGTGGGGTGGGGAGGTCACAAAAATGTTACATTTACGAAGTGAAATTGGATAACTCTGGAGATCACTACTACTGTACAATTTCAATATCCTGCAAGGAGTTCCATGCAAGTCATGAGGCAAAGTCAGACAGGGCTGATTATAGCTGTGTAAAACAGCAGAGGCAGGCATCAAATCCAGACCCGACACAATTAACAAAGCTGCTGGAGAAGTTAGCAAGGTTCAGTTCAGTAGGGTGGGGCAACAAGAATATCACAAACAACAACCTTACACACAAATAATTTACTTTTCTCGCAGCACACTCAATTTACTCTCTTGTATTGAACTTTCATATCATACACAAAATCATTTGTAGGTTCAGAAATATTTTGTTTGCCACCTTCACCCCCCCACCCCACTCAAGCACGCTTGATTTTACCTTTTGAAAGTACCACATTATTACTGTACAAGTGGCCTATTCTGCACTTAGGAAGACAGCCTAGACTTGTACATGAGAATGGGGAGGGGTAGAAACACAACAGCAACTAGAATTTTATACAAGATTCCTGGTTTTCAAATACAAAACCACTGCACTCAACTCAGAGGACATAAAATAGACCTGGAGTCCTGTAGCTCAGTGGTTATAGCACTCGCCTTGCAAGCGAGAGACCTGGGTTCAACTCCCGCAGGGCAAACTTGGGCAAGTTTCCTTACTCCACACGCCTGATAATAATCACTCAAGAAAAAAAACAATAATAAATTGGTCACTTCAATCTCCGACCGTTTGTGGGACACTGCTATGCGCAATTCGCTGCTGCGTTTCGTCCACAAATATACAGGTGCCTTCACTAACAGTGTGGTTTGTAACCAGTGTTTCAAATCCTTCATCATTGGATCATAAAAGCATTTGTAGCAAAATGCTCTGTTGCAGTCCAATATAGTTAACCAAACCCTTCTGTAATGAACATTACACAAATTCACCTTACAGTATATTCTGTGAAGCGCTTTGTGAAAAGCGCTATATCAAATGCAAGGATTATTATTATTATATGTAGACCAAACCAGAGAAATATCTTGTGCCCCTTGTGGTGCCCCAGAGGATCAAATTCAAGATCCTCACCCTCACCTACAAGGCCATTCACGGCCTCGCTCCCTCCTACCTCTCCAACCTACCATTCCCCCTACCTACCCGCCAGTACCCTCCGTTCCTCTGGCTCCGGTCTGCTCCACATCCCCCGCCCCAACCGCCCTACTATCGGTGGCCGGGCCTTCAGCCTCTCAGCCCCGAGGCTCTGGAACTCTATACCCCAGTGCCTTCGCCGCCTCCTCCCTTTCCTCCTTCAAGGCCGGTCTCAAGACCTTTCTCTTTGACTGTGCCTTCAGCTCTCCTCTCGACTCTCTACCCCCTCCTCGCTCCCTCCCTTCCCTCCCCTCACCCTGACCATTTCCCCCACTGCTCGGGTCCTGACCCAACTGTACAGCGCCTTGGGACGTCCTCCCGACGTGAAAGGCGCTCAATAAATGGAATCTTGTTGTTGTTGTTGGTGAATAAAACATTCTGTTTAGCCAGCTGTTACTATCTCCATCAGCAGGTTTGGTGTAGGTGATAAAAGAATCACTTGAAACTTCTCTCCCCCCACCTCCATAGTATTAAGAAATAAAAGGATACAATGAGGCAGCTATCTGCTCCTCGTGGATAGAACAAAACAAATAATGACAAATGATGGATAAGGCAGATAGACCTGTTGAACGGCAATAATAGGAGGTAATATAAAATATACTCAATCATCCTAGGTTTACAAAAATGCAGTGTTCATTACAGAAGGTCTTGGTTTAACTGCATTGGAGTGCAACATTTTGCTTCAAATGCTTTTATGATCCAATAATGAAGGATTTGAAAGACTTGTTACACACCACATTTTTTGAAGGCACAGTAGCTTAAATTGCTCCTACAAACCAAGAATTGCTTTACATTCTAACTGAAAAATTATCATCTGTAGGAAGATGTACCCTATTAATACTTTACCTCACTCATCTTTGGTTTAAATATATCCAGGAGAAGCAGCTTAATTTTACTCTGTATTCACTATAGTTTACTGAGCCCAATTTCATATTCTTTTTCAATATTTAAGGCAAGATGGACTGGACATGGACATTTGGAACAGCAGTAACAAGGAAACATATTTTTATAGGTACTAATTAAATTTCTTGCTGCTGTTCCAATCATCCAAATACATCAGTTCATTTCCAGAAAACATGACATTTGAGCCTCATTATTTAGCTAATTTTCTACTCACTTAAGATATAAGTATTGTTATTTGTACCACAATGAATACATATTAACAAATAATATTAATAATAATAAATAATAAGACCTTCATTTGATAGCACCTCTTTCATAGTGGAAGGACATCTCAAAGTGTTCTTGGGGAACTAGGTACAAGTGAAATCCAGCCAAACACTCAACTTTTCTTAATCCTCTAGGATATCTGAGCTAACTCAGTTTATATTCTCTTTTACAGGATCATATTACATGCGATAGCAAGTATCTGTGAAGCCTTTTGAGAAGCTGAAGTTATGGATGATATGTCAAACGTAATCGTTATTATTTTTAGACATGCAAGGGTGTATGAAATATGTACAAATTGATGAATTACACAAAGCCCTGTTCTAATTCTGTAGGTGGTGTAGAGTGCTGTCTCACACACGCGGGCGCATGCGTGCGCACATGCACACACATCACACAGTTACATTTCAGGGAGCTGGTTACCTTTCTGAGAGAAGGGGATTCCAAAGAACTTGGTGAAGAGTCTGTAACAGGCGAGACTGGAAAGAAGTGAGTAGTAACCTCGTGTGGAAACTTGGCAATTTCATTCTGGCGGTAAAGCCTGTGATGACGTAGCTTCATGACCCACTCATTAAATAACTCCAGCGATTTTACCTAGTGAAAGTACATTTAAACGATTTTAGGAAACATGAACTGAAATAAGTGTTTGGTTTAAGTTTAAAAAGATGCAAGTACAGTACCTTCAAATGGTATATGTGTTCTTCAGTATCTAGATCAACGCATTTCGCTTTCTTTTTTATTGACATCACGGACAATCCAACGTCAATGCATCCATGAAGCTTTCCCTTCTGAATCTGTAAAATGTAACCCAATTTATTCTTAAATCGTTTTGGCAAAGTCGACAAGTTATCAATCTCACTGAGAGAAGGACAGACTGAGAGAAAGTCCTCAGTTGATACTTCAAAATTGCAAAGATTGATTTGACTGCATTTATAATCTGTTGTCAAAGTCAAGTAGTTTCATGTGGTTGAAAAACTGGCCTTTGGAGTGGTTTTCCAGTCAATCAGCAGCTATATTTTGTTCTGTTTCTCCCATTTCTAAAGAGCTATCTTCGAAGAGATGAAGCCACTTTGCTGTTTATTGAAAGTGGATAACATTAAGGGAGATAGATACCTAACCCTTAGAAGTTCCATAGATAAGAAAAATATTTCTATAAAAGAAAAAAAGTATAGGAAACATAGATAAGGTAATTATAGAAATAATGCAAAAATTAAGATAGAAAGGAAAACAAATAGGGAGGGGCAAGCAAGGCTTTAAACTGTTTTATATTTATTTATATGTTTAGTATTGATTCTAATTGAATAGAGTTATTTGAGTTTTATTAATAAGCCGCTTTAGTTTCGAGATTTAGATTTTCTGTAATGTCATGGTGTGCAAAAATTGAGAATTATATTTTCATTAGTCCAAGGACATGTTATCTATCAAATAAACTACAAAAGCACTGAAGCACTTAAAAAGTTTTCGTAATAAGTTAGCAACTTTGCTGATTGGCAACAGAAGCATAAAAGCAAATGCATAAAAAAAACTAACGGAGGGAAAACATTATTTATTTGATATTTCCTTCATAAAGCATACAAATTTCTCACCCAGTGCTCTGGATTTTGAACCATTATTCAGAAGGATACATAAAAAGTCAAGTGGCAGGTCATCGAAGGGAGGGAGAATAAATGTTACTGTTGTTGGACATCTCAACTCAAAACGTAGAGCTAGTATTTTGGCTGTGTTCCTATATAATTTATGGCTAGTGTTAGAATATACACTTTTTGTATACTGTTAGAATCATAATAGATGTTGTGAATGGGTTACTTTTAAGTTAAGTGTGGGGGACAACTGGACTGACAGTCATGGGATAGGACACATCTGGTTTTCTCTGTTTTTGAACGAATAACGGACAGGGGCAGGGGGTCACCTCTTATCAGTAAATGACAACGAGCCACAGAGGTAACGGTCCAAGGTACCAGTCGACACAGGATCTCGACTGAGCAGTAAGTCGCTAGATTCTGACAGGGCTGCCAACCGACAGAAGGCAACCCTCAAGAATAGCAACTAATGAGCAAGTTGCTTAAACTAGAGGGCCTTGGTACCATCCCGGGATACTGATAAGGAATAACCAGTCACTTAAAAGGAATGTACTAATGATCCCACACCACAAAATAATGAGCACCAGATACAGCCCTAAACTGATCAATCCTCTATCTTAGACAATTAGATCAGATAACGGGGGTCTTAAGGACAATGTGTATGTGCGCTGAGGCACGTACACCCCATGAGGTGTTCACGTGAACCCAGCATGATTTCGACAGGTGATCTAATGTCCGCACCATGATTGGATGAACATTGGTATAAGAGTTCCATTGACTTTGTGTACGGGGCCGTCCCGGGTCGCGGAGACAAGGATACGGGAGATGGTGCAGTCCCGGGTCGCAGAGACAAGGATACGGGAGATGGAGCCGTCCCGGGTCGCGGAGACAAGGATACGGGAGATGGTGCAGTCCCGGGTCGCAGAGACAAGGATACGGGAGATGGGGCCATCCCAGGCTGCGGAGACAAGGGTACGGGAGATGGAAGACTGAGAGCTAGAAACACTAAGACTGAGGATATCAGATGGAAGATTGAAAGCTGTAAGCAAGAAGACTGAAAGCATGAAGAATCAAGCTTGTGTGCTGTAAAGACACAGTGTTGAACTCTTGAACTCGAGATATCTACGGTGGTATTATTCTGTTATAAGATCTGTTGATTGTACCGGCCTTTGGTCTGACCCATCGGGATATTGGGGAATAACGAACGAATAATAATAAAACAGTCTGATATCTGGTTAAAGAAATTAGCGTTATTTCCTTACAGATTTGGCTGATTTTATTTTCTAACACTAGGATAGTTCTGTAGAAAATCCTGCACAAATACTCTTAATTATACTTACATCAGCTTGAGTCTTGGAGTACTTCAGCATTCCTTTATCTAAGAAGAAATATCTCTGAAAGTACAAAAACTGCACTAAGTTTTTTTAAAAAAAGGGAAAATTGTGTCTTAATACCTTAAGTTAATAGTGCCACAATACATTTTAGTCCTATACATTAGTGATTAATTATTTTGATTCACAGCAAAGAGTTTCCCTTCGGGTTATCAATTTCTCATCCTGAAGTTTATGAATTCATGCTACTAGAAATTCTAGTGGTTAAAAATTATTATTGACCTGGAACTGGTAAACCAGAGAGGTTCAACACTATCCCTGAACTTCTGGGACACTGCGCTTTAACCCAGCCTAAATTGACTTTCTTCTATGGGTTCTACATGAGATGAGACTCAGGAGCTACTATTAATTTTGAGCGTGCATAAGTCCATAACACAGAACTGTCCATAATTCAGGAATTACATTCAGAAAGGCCATGAGAATAACTGGCATAGAAATGGGTTAAACATTTGCACAGTTAGGAAAGTGCTTTTCTCAGGATCGGGTAACAAGTTGCTGGAGGCAGAACAATGAGAGTTTAGTTTTGTTCACCCGCAAAACACAATCACTGCATTTTACAGTATATCCTGTGAAGCACTTTGGGACATCCTCCCGACGTGAAAGGTGCTACACCAAATATAAGAATTATTATTGTTTGGCCTTCCAAATCATTGTTAATTTTCAAAACATCTCACTTACAAAAACAGTCATTAACACTTTACAAAAAACTCTGTGACGTGCTTTGAGATGGTTGATGTGAATAATATTAATAATGCTTGCATTTGATATAGCGTATTATCAAGTCACCAAGATGTATCAAAGTTCTTCAGAGAATACACTGTAAAGTTCTGACTGCGTTTTGTGGGCACTACATAAAATGCAAAGGTGATTATTATTATTACTACATTATTTCCAATTTGCCAGACCACTCTGCTTGAATACTACCTTTCCCCTTGTTAACTGCTTTAAAATTAAACGATTGGTGTTCCCATGCCACAAATGAAGTTACCTTATGCCAGCCTTTCAGAGGCCACTTTCTCTTCTTCAGTAGGTAGCCTTCCTGTGTGTTTGGCTCTTGGATGTTATTCATAGCACCTCGAAGACCCTCCACAATCTCCCAGCTGTCCTGTTCCAACTACAAATCAAAAGAAATTTTTTTTTTATTGATAAATCTTTAATCAGATGTATTATGCAAATCCATATTCCTCATATGAAGTTGCAGTCCACAGATCATAATTTGATCCCGGTTGGATATCCAGCTGTGAGAAACCAAATTAATTTCCTCCACATTCCACCCAACTCCCTCAGTCCATTCTTTAAAAATATCTATTTTAATAGTCGCTCACGATACTGGTAGAAAGAGACTATGACTAATCAGGACAGCAAGCATAAATAAAAATGTAGTTTGAGAAGGGACTACATTATTCGAGATCAGAACAATGGCAACATGTCAAGACCAGACATTAAATATTAACCAAATATTCAAAAAAACTCAGGAAACTAGAAGTTTAAGCCAACTATTACAAATTAAAGTTGAAAGCCCCGAATTTGTTTTTCAATTCACGCTGAAAGCAGATTCAAAATGGTAACCGAATGTTTTGAGTTACAATTTAATAATGATTTGGTTCTTCTCAGTCCACGACTGCTTGTGGGACACTGCTGTGCACAATTTGCTGCTGCATTTCACCGAATAAATATACAGTCAATTCACTTTACAGTATATTCTGCGAAGCGCTTCAAGACGTGATAAAGCGATATATTAAACGCAAGGATTACCATATATTATCACTTTCAGCTGTGCCCAAGTCACTCCTCTTCAGCCCAGACAGTGTGCATTTATTTCCCACAGGGACAATTGACAAGCTCAGACTGGCCAGAAGCAGACAATTGGAAACTGGGTTTCTTTCGTTTCACTCTTGTCCATAGGAAGTGAAAATTAGCAATAATCTTACAAATTGCCTGCTTTCAAAATATTATAATAATGTAATTAATAAGTTACCACGGGTAAAATACTTTATAGAGCACAGAATGGAAAGGATTGAGGAAATAAACAGTCACTGCACTTTATAGCAAAATGCTGTGAAGCATGCTGTGAAGCATTTTGGGATGATGTTATAAGGCTACATCAAATGCAAGGATAACTAAAGACAGTTTCAGAAATAGGCTTTTTAAACAGACCATCAAAGACTCGGAGGGCACCTGCCATCCACTTTGTAAGGGCTCTAACCTGTTCTTTTTGGATGACAAACACCCAAATAACAATTATCCTTTACGGAGTGGAGGGTGCGGAGGTGGATAGCAGGATCTCCTTGGAACCTGAACTGGCTTGTTTAGCAACCAATTCCTGAGTTAGGCAGGTTTGCATTACTCCAGTGTGGCTCAGCAGCAGTACTTGGAAGGGCGGACCATGTCAGGAGACGGGGTCCCTTCCCACTCAGCTCTTGTTAACCCTGGAAGCCAAAGTCCTAATGGGTACAGTGGTCCAAGATGGACGAGCAGTGGGGAAGCTTTCAAAGGCAAGCTATGCGGTTTTAGTTTGTTAAATTCCAGGAGTGTCCCAAAGTACACTCTGAAATCTGCAAAGCTTGGCTCTTGCCAGCCTGTGCACAATACTTTCTGGAATTAGGTAAGCAGGCTCTTAAGGATGACTTTCCGCTCATGCCAGACACTCAGCTGCCCCCCACCCCCCAAATGCATAAAAAGTAAACACTGAATGCTGGAGATTTACAATTGGTTAATTTGGATCAAAAGCTAAGGTTGTGGGATGTGACCCTTCCTCATTACAGCACTGTAGATGTTACCCAGCCAGTGAGGTAAAAATTCCTTAACAAGCAACTGCTGAAGCCCTCTGATATCCGAGGGCATGCACACAAGTTCTGAAGCTTGTGTACTCTCAGGATAAGAATGGTTTGAACTCCTGCTTATTGACAATTACTTTCAACACTGCCCTTCAGGACTTGATATTTAGCTCTCTCTGCTTGAGATTCACAGGGAGTCAGCAATCTCCACATGAGGAACTGGATTGTTCCTCCCTCAAACACTCTTTGACGTGTGCACACTTTCAGTGCTGGACTGTGATCACTGAAGGCTTTCTTTCTTCTTGCCAACATTACTTTTCTCCAGCGTTCTTTTCTCACTCTTCTCCCTCCTCCTCCCCTGCTTACCCTTCCAGAAAACTAGTCAGAGCTGGACTTGAATAAATATCAATATACTGATCTCAAACAGAGAACTTCCTTTGTCCTATCCTTCAAGCAGCAGCTCCTTCCTGTGCCGCATTTTAGGGCAAACAATTCAGTCTATGTGCCAAAGTGATTTTGAGGAAAAGTTTAAACCCAGGTACTTACTTGTTGCCCAGGTGTCGATTTCATTACCCAGTCACCTGCAATATAATATTGCAACGGTCTGGCAAATACTCCATGTGTAATGAGATTGTCTAAATGCTGCAGTTAAAAGGCAGCAAAAAACAACAAATTCTATTTGTATAGCGCCTTTCATGTCAGGTGGAATCTCCTGAGGCGGTGGACAGTCAAGAATTTTCACCCGAGCTAGGGATTGGGATCAGGGGGATGGATTGCATGGAGGGTAGGGTTAGGAGGATGACCGAAGGTGCTAATAGCATCATTCTACATGGATGGACACTCCACCTCACAAAGCCAGTGCAGAACCTGGGTGTCTTATTTAACTCCTGACTGTCCTTTAAACCCCGTATTAGTGCTCTGACCCGCTCATCTTTCCCCCACCTCCATAATATTACCCGACTCTGCTGCTACCTCTCCCCTTGTGCCACTGAGACACTAATCCATATATTTATCACATCCAGGCTTGATTATGTCAACTCTCGGGTTGCTGGACTACCTGATCCCCTTCTTCACAAGCTACAAACTATCAGCCCTATTCTACCCTGGCTCCATTAGCACCCATCCTCAATGAATCTTACCTGCCACACCGTACCTCTGTGACCTCCTTAAACTATAACTACCTAGCTGTTCCCTTCGTTCAGCAGGCACTAACCTGCCTTATGCCCACTACCATACTTTCAGCCCATCTGCCCACTCAGTCTCTGTAACTCCATTCCTTCCTCCCTCCCTCCAACTCGCTCCCTCCCTCAAGGTCCATCTTAAGATCTTTCTCTTCAACCACGCCTTTGGTTACCTTTCCCCTCCTCCATAATATTACTTGTCCCCGCCCCCCCCACTCAGCTCCCATCCTTAGCTTAGGTGCCAAGCCAAAACTGTCAAGCATTTTGGGACGTCCTCCCCTGTGAAAGGCATTATATAAATATAAATTTGTATTGTATTGTAGTATACAGCATAGACTAGTTGGGCTGAGGGGCCTGTTTCAGTGCTGTAATGTTCCATGCAATATTAAAAGGGTGATAATACAAGTGGCATTGGCATAGGCCAAATGGCTTAATTCTGACCTGAAAATTTCAATTTCCATTTATGTCTTTGTAACTTTAAAAAAGAATGATCCGGAATAGGTCACAAAATATGGCAACGAAAAACGTATTTCATTATTTTATAAAAGAACATTGAACCTAATAATAGTTTTTTAAAAAACGTTTGGCTTCCATATCACTGATATTGTTGAACTTATTTAATCTATTTTTATTTTGCACAGAAATGCAACAAAATGCCACACAAGATGTGAAGCTTCATATTGAAATGATTTTTTCTTAATAACTGTATATGTGTCAACCAGGACTCATTCACAGGCTCACATTGTCTATTTCTTTTGCCCTGAAGACATCAATGCAATGAAATCTACACTCAATCTCTAAGGAACATGCTGCAGCAGACATTTAGCACCATAACCCCTGAAGATCACAGAATGCAAAGCATCAAGTAAAATATATAAATCAAAATTCAGATGTGGGCAGGATTTGACCCACATTCCAATTTACTTATGTGGCATTTCTATTTATTCTCATATAATTTCTACATTTCTTCTGACTCACTGGGGCGTGTTCTGCTCCACGTATAGCAAATTGCTTGCTGTCACCCAAGAACTATTCTGATCTGTTCAGAAGCTCTTCAACTTCATTCCTTTGCAAATGCACATAATTTTATCATGCAATTTCATCTTTTAAATAACACAAATTTACATTTATAGAAGGCTTTTCACGTTGAAAGGGTGTCCCAAGGCACAAAAATGTCTTGGCAACCGAGCTGGGGAAAGGGAGGTGGGGAGGGGGAAGATAACCAAATGTCCAACTCAAAGAGGCGTTGAAACTGAGCAAGTTGGGAGGGACTCCGAGGTGGAGTTCCAGAGAATGGGCCAGATAGGATGAAAGCCAACCTGCCGATGGTGGGGCAAGCAGGGCAAGGGACATGAAACAGGCCGATGCTTGTTGAGCAAAGGAAGCAGCCAGGTCAGCAGAGTTTGAGGAAGCCAAGCTCCAAGTTAGGTTTTTTAGATTTAGGGTTAATGGCAAAAACAGCACTTCAGCACACAAATAAGTGCCTCGGGCTATAAAGTGCATTTCTTGCAGGGAGATGTTGACTTGCAAAACGTGACTCCTACATGAGAACTCATCAAAGTCAAGATCTCATGGGTCTGCATGATGTACATGGAATCCCCTGCAGGAGATGCATTTTCTGGTGTGAGGAGTGACTTACATTGTGTTTTTCCTAGTTTTGTATGACCTCTATACTGAAAGACATTGCTCAAACCAATGAATAACAAAAATTCATATTATTTCTCTTATTTTCTCTATCCGCTGTATCCCATTCGTTTTGCACCTCTTCTTTGGCTTCCACCAGCCATACACCTGGAGACATTAGAGCAAACTTTTGCAAAGGAAGATTTTTACTTTGTAGAATTGGTTGAAAAAAGCTAAAGGGACTTGACCAAACTTTCGCTCACTTGTGTGGGGATGGGGTGGGGGGGGGGGGGAGAGAGGAGAAAGAGATAAAGGAGAAGGAAAAGGAGTTGCTCTTGTGGTTTACTTGATAACTTTCCAAACATACTCCAAATATCAGGAACTGACCATACAAGTACCAACCCATATCCTACCACTGTACAGTAGATTATCTTGGTCAATAGGAATAATAATAATCCTTGCATTTGATATAGCGCTTTATCACGCCTTTGAGACTTCTCAAAGCGCTTCACAGAATATACTGTAAAGTGAATTGACTGTATAATTTGTGGGCAAAATGGGGGCAAGATAAGGATGGTTTTGTATTTGAGTAATCAGCATACAATCAGAGATAAAAGCTAGCATTATTTGATGCTTGTACAGTATTAGTTTAAATGTTGCCAGAGCTGTGAGAGAAATACTAATTATTCTAACTCACAACTGCTAAATGATGTGGTGACATTCATCAGTGTGATAGTTTTGGACTGAACATATTGTTTGTGAGTGAATGTGTAATATTGGCCAACAGAAGACATCTTCGTACATTGCAAGACAAGGTGTCATACCTGCCGAATATCTGGTTTAAAAGAGCTGCTGGAACTCAGGGTAGGAGTCAATAATTTCTGGGACATTGTCAGGCTTTGCTCGTCACTGTTCATGATGACCTCAGGTATTCTGGTGTTTTGGGGGCCACTTCAGTTAACTTCATGGAGCGGAATGCCTCAGGTTACTTTGGTTGCCTGCATTGCAAAGCATCGCCTCGGGTTAAGTGAAGATGAATCCAGTTTCTGTGACTCTTCTCTTCATTTCATCCTAGGATCAGAAACAGATTGATTAAATAAATTAAAATGTTGGACAGGAATACCCAGCCAAATACATAAAAGGTGTGAAACTAAATAAGAGTGCGACAGGAAAAAAAAGCTTAAAAAAAACCCTCAACCCAGGCCTTCCAAACGTTGGCCCCTTTTTGTTTCAAGTTTACACAAAGCAACATACATAATACAGCATTTTCCACTAAATATTGCAAAGCTCCAAGAAGAAGTCTTCAACACAGGGATTCAGTAAATTACACCCAAATCCATACGGTGCCAAATTCCTTCTTTCTGCTTACTGTTTTTTTTAAACATAAAAAAATGTAGTCCCCTGGCACCTCCTCATAAAGTGCTCATGTAGCATATTCTTCCACGTTATGAATCTTACTAGATTCCGGGCTGTTGTAAGAAAGGTTTGACATACATACATGAGCTTCCAACATTATGAACCTAGTTTTACAATCCACATCATAACTTTGGATTTCCCCCATGAGGCAGATAAGGTTAGGTTTAATGGGCAACATGAAATTGTTTCACTTCCTTCCAATAATCATAAAAGACTCTAATAGGAATCACTCTATCCACATCAGTGCAGGTTGCATAAAAAGCCCAGCTTCAAATCTATGAAGAGGTTATTTTCAGTTAAGACACGAAGCTGTAAAAGTTTCTGGGAAGCTAATTAGCCAACTAACTAGCTTGAGTAATTTGATCTTCTAGTGCCTGGGAACTGATCAGATGAGAGTAAATCTCAAGAAGATGTAGAGCAGGCATCTGTAAATTTTAAGTCATCACGATTTAAAAGAATCTCATCAGAAAGTTGCTAAACTGAAAAAAATAAACGAATGTATGTTTTATAAATAAGGGCACTAAAGGACAAAGGGGCCAATGCTAAACCTGTAACAACAACAACTTGGATTTATATAGCGCCCTCCACGGCGGACGGCGTCTCAAGGCGCTTCACAGTAACGGATTCCGGGTTGAATCAGGGGGAGGAAAGTGACCAAAGGCGCGGTCGAAATAAAAGGTCTTCAGGCGAGACCTGAAAACAGGAAGAGAGAGGGTGAGGCGAAGGGAGTCAGGAAGGGGGTTCCAGAGCCTCGGGGCATAGTGGCTGAAGGCACGGCTGCCGAGGGTGGAGTGGAGGACTCAGGGGACGAGAAGTAGGGCAGATCCGGTGGAACGAAGGTAACAGGCACTGCTTTGAGGAGAAAGGAGGTCAGAGAGGTAGGGGGGTGCAGAGGAGTGGTATAAATCATTAGGCCGCTATTCAAATATTGCACCATTTTTGAACACTTCACTATAGGAAGGATATCAACAACAACAACAACAACAACAAGATTCCATTTATAAAGCGCCTTTCACGTCAGGAGGACGTCCCAAGGCGCTGCACAGTTGGGTCATGACCCGAGCAGGGGGGAAATGGTCAGGGTGAGAGGAGGGAAGGGAGGGAGAGAGGAGGGGGGAAATGGTCAGGGTGAGGGGAGGGAAGGGAGGGAGCGAGGAGGGGGGAAATGGTCAGGGTGAGGGGAGGGAAGGGAGGGAGCAAGGAGGGGGAAATGGTCAGGGTGAGGGGAGGGAAGGGAGGGAGCGAGGAGGGGGAAGAGAGTCGAGAGGGGAGCTGAAGGCTCGGTCAAAGAGAAAGGTTTTGAGACCGGCCTTGAAGGAGGAAAGGGAGGAGGCGGCGAAGGCACTGGGGGATGGAGTTCCAGAGCCTGGGGGCTGAGAGGCTGAAGGCCCGGCCACCGATGGTAGGGCGGTTGGGGCGGGGGACGTGGAGCAGACCGGAGCCAGAGGAACGGAGGGTACGGGCAGGTAGGTAGGGGGATAGTAGGTTAGAGAGGTAGGAGGGAGCGAGGCCGTGAATGGCCTTGTAGGTGAGGATGAGGATCAAGGCTACAGAGAGGATGCAGAGGAGATTTGCTAGGACAATACAATGGATAAGAGGTTTTACTTAAGAAAGATTGGAGACTGTTTTTCCCTAAAACAGAGAAGGTTGATAGAGGTTTTTAAAATGATGATGGGTTTTGAAAATAAACAAGAGAGAAATTATGCCCACTGATGGGTGAGTCAATAACTAACTAAAGGGCATGGATTTAGGAATTTAAGGCAATTACCAAAGGAATGCAGAGGTAGGGAAGTTTCTTCTATACACAGGTTTGTTAAGACATGAAATGCCCCACCTGGAGACACAGTTGAGGCAGGTCTATGTCCTACCCGCCCAGGTTTTCAGCTTCAGCTTTTGTCCACAAACATGTGCAGTCAATTCACTTTGCAGCATTTTCTGTGAAGAGCTGTGCAACGTCCGAAGACGTGATGAGGTGCTATATCAAATCCAAGGATTATTATTATTATCATCTGCCCCCTCTCTTTGGAACTCTATCCCGGAGTCCCTCAGACTTGCTACCTCTCTCATTTTGTTCAAGGTCCATCTCAATCCCTACCTCTTTTGACCTTCTTGCAGTATCTTTCCTCTCTCCAACCCCTTGGCCCCCATCCCCAGCTCAGGTGCCAAGCCATTATAGTTAAGTACCTTGGGATGTCCTCCTGATGTGAAAAGCACTATATAAATGTGAATTTGTATTGATCCAACAGGTTGGGTTCTGAGTACCCCTATCCAGATTAAGCAGCAGGGACTAAAATATTTTACATTTTAAGCCTCATTAGCTTTAGTTTGTGTTGCAAATCATGTGCCTCAAGCTAAAACAGACCGTAATGCAGCAGACTCATTCACAAATTTCTCCAGCAGGCCAAGATCCATGATTTGCCTGCAAATTTACAAGACAAGACAATTTGCTCTGAATATTAAAATGCCTACAAAATGGGGAGAGTGGGTTGTTGTAATTAACATCCCTCCAGAGTGTGCATTTCATTCCTGACAGAAAATTTCCACATGTAGGTGGCATACACCTGCAGAATTCTCAATCTGGTTTTAATACTCTTGATAAAAATACTTACATTTGATATCGCCTTTCATGTCAGGAGGATATTTCAAAGCACTTCACAGGACATACTGCAAAGTGGAGTGATAGTGTATGTTGTAGGCGTCTATTAAATACAGTCACTACACTCTACGTATATCCTGTGAGGTGCTTTGGGATGTTCTCGTGACATGTAAGGCACAATATCAAATTTAATATTTACTTATTTTGATCACTGCACCCTGCAGAGCATTCAACCTCCTGATAATGACAGAAATAATAAAGACATTTGTGGTCATACATCAAGATAGATCGAGAAATTTCAGAATTTACTCGAGAGTAATAGAACTAAAGGGTCTGTCTGACAATTTCCTTAAAGGCCTCCGATATTGCTTTTGAAATGTGGATCCCGTTCTTAGATTTCTTTGCTTATAACAAAGTTTCATTTGATATAGACATGCAGTTTAATTCATGATTTCTCTCCTTCCTTCCAAAACGGAAATAAAATGATGTTTATGGATCTGGTTTCCAATTAATTTCTTTTGTGGTTTCCATACAGCAGGGCGATCTAATAATAATCAGGTTATAGTTTAACCTTATGTTGTCCATTTACACAACCATAAAGATACACATTATTAGGTTAGTCGCAGCAAAGGATTTGTACAGCAACATTAACTCCACAACCCAGCTTTTCCAAACAATTCAGCAGCACACAATCTTTTGGCTATAGATTGCTAATGTACCGTCAGGTCTTACTCTTTCTTATTTTGTTAGTGTCCAAAGAAGTATTGTACAGTGGCTGTCTCCAGCAGATTTATACAGTTGCTGTAAAATCATTGCAATTTTATAATTGAGGCTCATTAATGCAGTTAAATGAAACATGATGGCAAATCAGTCAACATGACTAACTGAATTATGTCCTGAAATCTGCACGATTCTATAGAGTCATGCATTTCTATCTCAAGAGCTGACACACAATGCAGATGAATACAGAATCAGGTAATTGAATTCAGATTTGGTAACAAAATCTTCATCTCTCACAAATCAAGAAGCTCAAGAGCGAAGATCAAGAACACATACATAAACAGCAAATTCTTGATCTCAATCTCTGCTTTGAAAATTAATTTCAATTGTCTGTTGGAAGTTGTATCACCCACCCTCACATTGTGCAAATTGTGCATGCTTCTCCCTTTTGAACAACGTAGCCACATTTCTATTTGTTTTCTTGATGATTTCATTATCCTCAGATAAGTTCAAGAGCGCAACATTCAACATCTTTTATTTGTAGGATAAACCGTGAGCTAGGAGTTCTTATAAAGGCAAGACCTTCAGAGCTGTTCTTCAATTGAAATTCAGTTGTTCCTGTCATGTTTTGTACAATACAAAGTGGATCATCTTGTGATATTCTTACTCGAGTGTAACATTTTTATTTTATCTGCTATGAAATTACCTTCTCTTTGGTAGTTTGTTCCATTCATTAGCAGGATATTGCATTTAATTCAATGTGGAACAGTAACTTTTCATTTTTTAACTGAAATTGGAGATTATATAAAAATTTATAAAGTTGAATCCTTCTTCAAATGTTTACATGTGAGTATTTAGCCAATTTCAATTAAATGAGCACCATCCTTATGAAAGTCTATGGTGAACATACATTTCACCATGTAACATGCAATTTGTTTGAAAGTGCATTTTAAAAAAGCAAATCAAATAATTTCCCTTTAATTTTAAAAAGAGCGCTATTTTGTCAATCAATTTGCGTGTCTCATTGTGGCTTTCTCCCTCCCCACAGCAGAAAAAGATAGTGCTCCTTGAAAATGAAAATCACAGCAGTTTGGCATCCACATTATCCAACAAAAAAGGTACGCGGCAAAACTCAAACATTATCATCGTGTTCCAACCTGCTTCATGAACTGCCTTCATAAGCTTCTAGCTCAAAAGGTCTATTCGAATGAAAGATATCTTCAGATCTCCAGTGAACGTAAATAGGAAAATGAGAACTTTTAATACATATTTGAGTCCTGTAATGCATACTTCAGTATAATTTCATGATGCTCTTCCAAACTCATTCGAGAGATCTTTA